TCCCATATCTAAATGTAACAATCTATAAATAAATCTGGTTTTGGTCCTTGTAATATTTTTCTAAGCTCATTTAACTTTTATTTAATTAAAATGTGTGCTTTTGTACCCCTTTATATAAGAATTATGTCATATTTAGCAATTTTTTGTATTATATCAGTATAAAAAATGGAGTAACAATACAAATTTAATACACTACGTCAATAATTGAAAGATAACACTTAATAATTCATTGAATTAGTGAATATTCATGTAGTTTGAACGGTCAATATTAGTGCACCTATCAATTGATTGAAGGTTAAATTTGCTTAATTGGAAATTACAAGGACTGAAATTAAAATTTATCGATATTTAAAGAGCTAAAAGTGCTAATATTCCTTCGTTCTTATACACTTTAATCGGGTGATTTTGGTCCTTGTGATTTTTGGTTAAACATATTACACCTTCGTTATGCATTCTAAATCCCTCTATGTATGGATTTTCACAAATTTAATGATTTCTTAAGTGCTAATCATTCAATTATCAATATAATTACCTTAAACAATTACTATAAATTTGTATTATTACACCATATTTGAGGATAATATAATTCTAAAAATAATCTAAATATCATATACTTCCTACATATAGCTAGGGACCAAAAACTACACCTTTTAGTTAATTAAATGTTAAATGTGCTTCATAATATATTATGAAGATCAAGTTAGAATTAATCCATAATTGAGGGCCAGAAGTGTAATTATCCCTTCCATTAATATATGAAGTGACAAAGCCTAGTGAATTTTTCTAAAGATGCATTTTAATTTGATTGAAATGTTTCAACTAATTTACTACCTAAAACAAAAAACTTGCTAATTCTTTTTTTATAGAGTTAAGACTTTGAATATCACCAAATTTTTGCACTATAAGACTCAATGAAAATATATCTATTTTGGCTCGACTAATTTGAAATAGCATCAGAAAATTTTATCCTAGGATAAAACGATCTCTATCAAAGACGATGTTATACTTTAAGTTTGAATCCAAAATCTCTAATTAAAGATAAAAAAAAAAGTATATTTACAATTTTATCACAACATGTAATAGTTAATTAATGTAATATATATCACATTTTTTTTCTTTTCTTTTATCACATAAAGTACTCCCTCTAATGAACTTAATAATATAGTCTATTTTATGAATATGAAGCTTTATAGTTGAAAATAAATGTTGTACCAAAAATCTTAAATTCTTGATAAATCAATATATTGTCTTTTTCTTTTGGTACAAATTCTAAGATTATTAATTGTTATCTCAAGTGTTATACTCCTTTTATTTACCCTTTTATAGCTATTTAATATTCAAATGTACTTTTTTTCCCCAACCAATCATTTTTTTTGTACTTTTTATTTTCTCTTTTACCGATCGTACTTCAGTCTATGCGATAGATTTTCTCTTTTTAAAATTTATCGCAAAAAGATCGAAGCATTTTATATTTAGAAACAATTTAATTTTAACTTTTCATTTTGATGTTATACATTCATAAAATTTTGGTCATATAAATCGCATGATATGTTTAAAATTGTATGTTTCAAAAGTTTATTTTTAAATTTTCGATTTATTAAACCGGTTCACATATGTTGAAATGAATTGAGTTCTCTTTCCGTCTCAAAATAAATAAAAAAAATTCCTTTTTAAGAGTTAATTTTGGTTAACATTCGAAGCTTAAATTGGATAGATTTTGAAAGTCAAAATTTAGTCATTCAAAAACTATACGAAATATATTGTATATAAGTTGCAATTCTACACACGTCAATATAATTTAACAAGTACATTTTAAACTATTGGTCATCTTTTCATATAATTTGAATTTTATGATACAAAAAACGATAGATAATTTAAGACGAAGGAAATAATTAAAAAACATAAATCAGTAATAAACAAACACATAAAAGTCTTGGGTAGTTGCATTATTTGTTATCTTGAGCCTCATTTTCTAACTATTAATTGCTAGTCAAAAAGCAAAACTTATTGAACTAGAAATATAGTAATTTATTTTTAGAGTATGTCAAAACCTAGTCAAAAGGCTATTACTAGAAGAGTGCTATCTTTTGTTACTTTTATTTTTGTAAATTATAAAAAAAAAATTACTTTAATTAAGTGATTATCTATCATTGTTAGCATTTATTTTCATAGTCACCAAATTTTCAAAATTGAACTGTATTTTTGAACTAATACATAAGTACATTTACTTTTACTAAAGAAAGAAAATAGAGACTTGCTTGTTATTGGCTAAAAGTATGCAACTTACTTGTCCTTGGAAGTTAGGAAGTCATTTTCTATAGAAAATATTGTTATGAAATCGATGAACTGAAAAGAAAATCGAAAAGAGAATAAATGATAATGTACTCATTGCTATAAATAGGAATTTGATGATCTGGACAAATCATGTAATTAAATAACAATATTCGTTGTTAATTTTATTTAGTGATGAATTATCATGAAATTTTGTTAGTATCAATAGCTTCTGCTCAAATTTTATATATTCATAAATATTTATTAAATATATACAAATTCTTTGACAATAAACTCAGTTATTATTATCTATTTAATTTAAATTCATTATATGACCTCATAAACTTCAAATGTTAAATCCGTCTCTTATATCAATAGTTTTGGAAAATAGTAATTAATTGCTAGTCAAAGAACAAACCATTGTACTAGATATATTATTTAGAATATGTCAAAAGCCTACTCAAGGGCTATATTAGTAGAAGAGTTAGAAAGATCTAAAGAGTGAATATTTTTGGTTACTTTTAATTTGCAAAAATTAACTATATAAGTGATGATGATCATATTATTACTTGCTAAAAGTATATGCAACTTATCTATAAAAATATGTTCTATAAATTTATATTGTCATTTTATGTTTGACGATAATTATATGATTCTAAAATAGTCTAGATATAATATATTTCCTATTTAAAAGAATTAAAAATATATATTTAAATTATTTGAAGATTAAATATACTTAATTAGATATCTTTGACATAAAAATATTATTATATACCCCTAGAAGAAATTATAATATACAACTTTCATCATATCAAACAAACATTCGAATGATACAATCAACATATATATTCAAATTGAGAACACTAGAAAATAGTGCAAAGCTTGTATATGTGGGCGGATCTAGCTAGCCTTTGATTGACCTACACGTACGATTTACGTGAACTCAAAAGTTTTTGCTAAAACTCTATATATAATTATTAAAAAAATCAGACAAAAATTTCATTATTAATATGTCACTAAATTGCTCGTATCCAACGTAACTTTTTGATAATCCTTTTTAATTCATATGTTGAATAAGATTAGCGATAATATTATTGTTTAGCCACAAAATTTATTTGCCGCTAACATATATACATATTTAAATGTGATTTTTCATTCATTATTACATATTAACTTAATGTAAAAAATCATAAACTTCAAATCTCAAATTCATATATCGGTATATATATATATATATATAT